GCGATTTTGGTGGTCAAAACTTCCACACCACAGCAGGCCTATCAGACAGCCACATCTACCTACCGACTAAATGCCTAGACATGATCTTTTTTGTGCATGAGAACCTTGAAAAAGCCAATTGTTCGATTGGCTAATGGATAATGAGTAGAGTAGACTAGTAGTACCACAAAACCCCGCAATGACTCGGGAAAATATCTGCATACGATTCTCCCTGACTGCTCGTACCCCACCTTACTTATTGAATTCCCCGCTGTCCACCGCTTCACGAAGGAATCGATAGCGGATATTGACGACGTACTCTTTGAGGGAGGCGTGGCTCGTTTGCGGCAAGAAGAGTCCCATGCTCCTCCTTACATTCCTCGTTGCAACTCATACCCCGGGAAACGCAACTCCGGAGAGACCTCAAGAAAATGTCCACTTTAGCGGGAAACACAAGACATGCACAACTCCAATTTTAGGAAGTAATCCACCGCAAACCATCATCCCTCCGAGAGAAGAAGGAACAAACTTGCTACATCCACGGCATTTGTTACAAAAATTAGTCTGTTCTTACATTGTTGCCGTTTTGTGTTTCAGGGAAGCACACTGTACACGTGAAACAAAAAATATCGATCCGACCTCCCGTCCCCCCACTACTGGCCCTCACGTACGTCCACGCGCTGGGCCCCCCACAGCCAGCACGTGTCCCTTGCCACTCGTGCTAAAGGAATATCCTGCTTCCACATGTACTCTGGCCAATGCGGGGATATCCGCACAGGTGGCTGTTGGAACAATCAACATCCTGTACTGAAATGGCACAGGTCGTCCCTCCAGAGCGAGGTGACAGAGCCCCTCCATCTGATGGTCCCCTCCCCCTAGCTCTACCCCGGGCGACCACTGCTTCGAGTAAACCATCCTCAGCATTGCCACCCCGACCACCAAGGTCACCTTGGCCGCTACAATGCCCCCAACCAAGAAACCAACGAGGCTTTGACCGCTCGCGACGACGATCACGTTCCAAGAAATCACTCCAGCCACCAAACCTGCCAGCACACAAGCCTGGTCTGACAGAAGCCCTCTTGCCGTCTCGACCACGAGAGACAGGGCCTCAAATACTTCGTAACGCCAACCACGCCAAACACCGCAGACCCCGATAAGCGGCAGAACCTGAACTGCGTACCCTTGCCAAGCTGGACCCACCGAGCAGGCCAGGAGGGCGGCCACCACCAGTGGCCCGACATGGTTCGATCCGTAGCTGTCCTGAATCCCAACCATGCCCCGCAGGTAGAGTCTGTCGTACAAGGTGCTACGGGACTCAATCGCTAGCCCCGCCTGCCTGTTAGGCTGTTCCGTGAGCAGACCGTAGTCTGATCCCCGGAGAGCGATCTTTATCAACTCCTTCGGTCTGACCAGCACCGGGAAGACGTTTTCCTCTAGGGCAAATCCATCCGGAAGCGACAAGATTGTGCGCTCAGGTTTAGCCGATACCACCACCCGGCGAAGAAGGAACTCGTCACTTGTCCATCCCCTCTCCATCGCTGCAGAAACGAGCTCCCTGTCATCGTGGGCGTAGACTTGTGACAACGTCACAATGCCCTCCGCCCAACTGGGCGGTTTGGATGTGGTAGCAGCCAACCCCGCCAAGCATGCGTTTATCCTGCCGACTACCGCGGGCCCCTGGTTGAAGAGAGTGAACGCGTTCTCAAACACTTCGCCCACAAAAGCAGCGAGCCACGCGTCCAAGGTTGGGTCGGTGCCACCACACCGTGCAAAGGCCTCCTCTCCTGTCAGGGACAACTCCCCCTGCGACCAGCCCGAGCTCTCCAAGGTCACCTGCTGACCCCTCGGGGTGTTTGTTTGTAGCCTCGCAGTACGCTGCGTACCACCTATGGTATCGTAGTAGCCCCTGGAGTCAGCACCTGAGCCCCTCAGCACCTCGCGAAGAGGCATCCAACCTCCTGGAAATCCACTGCCCCCCGACGGCACAGAGAGATCCACGACTTGGCGTCGACCCTCCTATCGCGTCTGCGGCATTCCCGGGCCGTGACGGACAGGAGACAAACTAGAAGCACCATCGCAATAGTGGGCCACCACACCTCCCCACCAAGCATTCCCCTAGGATGGTACAGTCCGGCGAGGATGGAGTAGAAGAACGACAGCGACGCCAAGATGAGAGTAATCAGCTGGTCGCGGGTGTTGCCGAAGGGAGAAATGGCTCTGGCAACCGCCTGGTAGTTCCACAGAAACAGTGAACCCAACAAAAACGTGGACGCTGCCATCACAACCGATGACTCACGTCTCTCGCCTTCGAACCACACCCAGGCGGTGGCCGTCGAGGTGTAGACAACCATGATCAGTCTGCCGCGCTTAGACTGCAGTCCGCACAGGATTGATCCTGCAATCCAGTCACTTGCGACAGGCGAGCAACGGAGCCATGCCAAGGGTACGTACGATACATCTCCCTTGTAAATGTCAGTCACGCCGTTTTCCTGGGTGGTCATTGAGCTCCTCCGTCGGACCCGTCGAGCATTAGCCGCTGGTTCGTCGGTTGTAAGAGCGCTATCGTCGCCATCCCACGGTTCCACCGTGTCGGGGGCTCCATCCTCCGGTGATGTCCCTAGTACCCAGGCTGGCGCTGTTTGTAAGGTTCCAATAGTCGTAAACCTTGGTAAGAACGACACCGACATCTGCACGTCACCGCGCCCCTCTAGGACCGAGTGCCGAATCCCGGCGCATGGCCTCGATATCAACGTGAGATCCGTGCCTGCAACGCCGCGGCACCCAAGATCAGGACACCTGCCGGCGAGTGAACCGCCGCCCGCCACCAGAAACTGGTCCCAGGCTTCGTGCGACCCCTCGAACAAGCCCATGGTCGCTTCGCCCACCCCAATCGCAAAAGGCGTCAGCTCCAAAACCTTCAAATGTGGAGATGCGCCCCCGTCCGTGCTGGAGTTCAGGCACACCAGTACTCCTTTGAAGGACCGGCTCCTCCTCCCGTACAGGAACAAAAGCGCTGGTCCCGCTTCGTACAGCCGCGTTGGTCTGGGCAACGTCCTCACACATTCCGAGATCGTTCTGGATCCTCCGGCCAGAGTCGGCAGGGACGATAGCGACACAGCTTCCTGGCCCAAGTCGAGGTCACGCCATCCCGCAACCTCCATGGTCATTTTGGTGCAAATGAACAAGCCCTGACGTCACACATGCACAGGAAAAAAAAGCGGGAGGGGTGCATCAGCGAGCTAAGAGGATGAGCTCTCGTTTTGACAACTACAACCCGCTATCATCGCCGGGGGTCTCGAGTTGGATGTCGACCTGTGACGATTTTCAAACCAGGGACTGTCCGTCACGAAAACACTTCCTGCGATACGAATCGTGCAAGCCAAGATATAGTGAAAGTTTCAGTAGCCACTGTCCAGGGTTTTTCGTTTAAGTAAACATGTTGGATAAACATGCAATCGGGAAAATGAGGTTAGGGTTAGGGTTAGGAATAGGGTCTGCGTACGCCCTCCCTGTTCTATTTCTTCGAAAACGTAATCTTTCGAACAGGCGGTCCCACCATTTTTTGGGATCCGCCTGTGTCGTTCCGCATCGGGCGACCTCTGCATACCATGATATACGACGTAGACAGAGACCTAAACGAATGGTTACAACACATACCACCCACCTCCTATTTTTGCAGCACACACCTGTTTCTCATCAAGATACACAAACAATCGCGCATGAGCCGCAAAGAAGATCCACAGATACAAAGCACGTTTGTCACCGAAAGATGGGCATTGCTACGCGAGCAAGGCCTTGACCCCTCTAGAGATGCAGCTCTTTGCTTTGTCAGATGAATATGCTGCACGACGGACACACAGAAAAAGTTTCAAAAGCGCATGTCTATCCGCATCAAAATTTTGTGAATCGACACTGGACCTCTATCTCTGCTCAACCACCACCGCTCGGATGGCGGAACAGACAAAGTCGAGTCATACGAACAGGAGGCAGAAGCCACTGAAACTTGGGGAGGTTGCGATCCATCCGAGCCATGCTTGAGTTGTAGCGAGCCGTGCGCCATAGCTCGAGACCGTTGCGTGAGACCCGGCCGGGAGGGGCTTGGAAGGCGAGATCCTCCCACTCACCCACGGATATTGACCGGGCGAGACTGGTGCGGCAAAGAAGATAACAATTCCAACGGCGAGTGCTTTACTCAGTGCTGCTATGTCTGAATATATAGGACTAGTATGCCTCTGCTGCACAGAAACACTTCGTTTCTTACCATGAGTATGGTAACATAGCATTCGGAGTGGTAAGTGGTCTTAGGTGGTACATTGTTTCTGCTGCGGCTTTTTCGCCGCATGTTGTTTCGGTGAGCATGCCCTTGTTGTCCAACGGATGCGGGTATAGCGACGCACCATCGGAGATTGTTTTCAGGTTGTCATCAAGCTGTGTCCTGGGGGCGCGCTTGTAATCAGGCGTTGTGATCGCATAGCGTCGAACTTCGATGTATGCGATAGAATGCGCTAAAACTCCAGGGTTAAGGGTCCTCCTTGGTTGTGTGCATGTCTGCGTCCGCATCAACGGCTTCAGAAACACTACCATCGCCATGAACGCCAACATTTTTGTGCCCTTCTCGTGTGCTCTGGATTACGATTGATTCCCAAGACACACGAGCTTGGGGCTCGTCCGAGAAAATGGACCGCGGTCGAGAATAAGCGCCGGCGGCTTTGAATGAAAATCACTAATTGCTACGATCATCTTATCACCCGCTGCCGAATTTCTGGCACAAAGAAGCTGCGGTCGGGCCCAAGTTGAACCGAACATGGGTCGTCAAGGGGAAGAGGGGCGTGCGCATACGTTCGGTCGAAAGCTGTTGCCTCTGCTGTTGCCTCTGGCTCTGAACTTGCAACCAAAAACAAGAACACCCCATGACTGCCTTGCTTCCACTCAAGATCACCAGGAGCGAAAATCCCGCCACAAATGTGGGCAACCTGCGCATCGGTGAACATTAGATAGTTCTCAAGCTTGAGATTTTCTCTTTAGAACGACACGAAAACTCGAGTGACGCGGAGAGAAACAACACTCTTTATGAAAGACGATTGCGGCTGGGCATCCAATACGAGGCAGCCAACAGCATTCACCTGCGAAAAAAGAAAAAAAACGAGGGTTGGAAAAGAGGAAGCGTTGCCGCACAATTCTAAAGACTCAACTTGGACCTCGCTGAGCATCCCATTAATAGAAAGTTCCCCGCGTTAACACATGAACGATATCTCTGGAGCATCAAAGCTCCACTCCAACGAAAAAACTCCCTTGGAAAAACCTGACGAATACCAATCAACGGAAAATGCTCGGAACACTTCTTCGTTGCTTGCAGGTGAGATTCGAAGAACAAACAAAACACAGAACTACCTGTTCGTGGAGACTCGTCTTCAGTGATGGATTTCGAACATCAAATCATCTGCCCCCTGGCGAGTGCGGTTCTGGCCGTGCAAACTTGGGCGAAGCTACTTGCCCGGATGAGTCATGAGTTTTTCAGCGAGGCCAAGAAAAACACAGCTGGCTTTGGGCGAATACAAGCTGAACTCAAACAATGGTGGCAGATCCGACCCAGTTACCCTTATCAGCCACCGGGACGAAGTAGAATGTTCCGGCAGTCCACGTCTTTCCTCGCAGTCGAACTATCGATCTTCATGGCAGCAGTGGTCCCGCTTTAGCGGTTCCCTCTGTCAAGCGAAGTTCCCTGTAAAGCGGTTCCACAAAATCGTGGCACGGCTGCAACCCAGTTTATTAGCGGTTGTACGACCGCTAATCAGGGCACGAGTAACTTTCAGCGACCAACGGTTGTTATCGGATCATTTATTGCGGAGACCCCGGGTGCTCGTGGCGCGGTGTATCGGAGCTCACGGCCGCACTGAATACGCTCAGCACCACGGCGGCGGTAGATGGAGACCACGTGAACGACTCGGAGTTGTGAGAGATGTCGACGCACCTAAGCATCACCCCAGGTATCGCTTCCACCCCCCCCCTGCAACCGTCGCAGCGGCTCAGTCTTGGGGTGGAGCTGGAGGATCAGGACGACATCTCCGAGTATTGCGGAAGGACACGAATGACGTGCTCATCGAGACTCGACAGAGGCAGGAAGGTTATGGCACCGCCGCGATACTCGACGCTGTTGTCGCATTCTGAACAACTTGAAGAGTGCGCGGCACTGCATGAGCGAGGCAGCGCACTACGTTCGCAAGGCACAAAAAAAATGAAAAATACCGTTCCGCGCAGCGCATGCCCCTTGTACCAACGCCCTAAAGCAGATACCAGAGTGATGTTGGGTCAAGCATGATCGATGCTCGTGATAAAGTAGCAGAAGTCAAGCTACTGAGCACATCATTACATTTTCACGAGTTTGCCCCACGTGCTGTAGAGGCACTTATGGTATTGGTCAATATTTTCCTGCTTCTCAATTCTTATGGGGGTGGTGCCTTGTCGAATCATTGCCTTCATGGTTGGTTGTCACTGCCTTTGTCTCCCCCCCCGCCCCCCCCGGTGTTTTGCCATCGGGGTTGGGTTTTCGTCGCTTGGCAACGACGTTGTAAAACAAGCCGCCCCCCCCGGT